GGAAAGAGCTTCAGTTCAGCAATGCTCAGAACAAATTTTTCTGTATCTTTTAAAAGAGTAGAAAAATTAGGGCAAACAAAAATCTACCTTATTTATAATTTCTTGATTGCTCAGATCCTTTGGCTCCTCTGGAATTGTCACAAGGAACTTAGTGATATCTACAACCTCACAATGAGTTGGAAGCCTTCCAATGGATGGTATGAACGTGAAGACCAATGGTTTGGTTCCAGATTCTTGAGAAATTACCTACAAAACACACAATTAGGTCAATTATTTTATCTGAATAAAAATTACTTTTGTCAGAGTTGAAATAGCATTAATTACTTCATCTACACAACTTAAATGTTTTTTATTAACTATATTGGTCTTTTTTTCTTTACAGGTCATTGTATATTATGGACTTCTTTAACAGACAAAATACTTCCTTTATACTCATCATCATCCTGTTTATTAAAATGATGTGGCACAGCAGACAGGAGAAAATTTGTTCAATAATTTAATTTTTCAGTTTTCCATGCCAGAAAGAGAAAGCCATAGTCAATTCATTTCAAGGCTGCTTTTATCTTTGTTTAGCTTCTCTTCAGCAGAACAACAATGTAATTATACCGCTGTATCTGGACATAATATAGCCCCTAGAGTATTTGCTTAACAACCTCTAATAGATTGGAAGAACCTTTGCTCTGCAAAAGGAAAGCAAAACACGTTTACAAAATAAATGCAAATGCAGCTAATTCTGAACATCTGGGATAAATTCTGATTCAAGTAAAGGATTTTCTCCCATTTTCTTTGGACCATTCCAACTAAGAGAAGGCAATTTCTGCTGAACATCAATTTTATGACAATGCTCTCCCATTACTTCCACCCCCTTCACAGGAGATACTGGAAAGGAAGAAGAAGTCCACACCATGGTAAAACTCTCAGTTACTTTGCCAGGTATCAGTGGAAGGAACTCCAAAGGCCTTGGCCAGGTAAGTAAAGGGAATCATATTCTAAACCACTGACCCTGATATGTTGACTTGCCCTGTACTGGTTGGTGTAGAAAATCCTTCTTTCTGATTCAAAACTATGGAATACATAGATTTTCCCTTTTTTATCATCTTATTTAAAGCTTTTGGCAGTTAATTCTCTTTTCAATAAACTCTAATATGCAGAACCTTGAACTGCATTGAATCATTGTTTCAATTTTTTGCTTACTTGTTTAAAGCGAAACAATTTGGAGAGCTATGGCTCTCATCATGCTTCTTTGTAATTTGCATCCATAAGTAAATAGCAATTATGGAACAGAGTAGGATTATGGAATACATAACTCGTTCTTTTCGTGGCTGGAAAATTTAAAATTATAAATACAGATTTTCAGTTTTTAAAAAAATCTAAGCAAATAGTAGTTACTTACACTAACAGCTGTCTCTAGGAGGGCTGGAGCAAAACAAAGGCAGGTTATTTATACCAATGTTGCCAACTGCTGTTGGCAGCAGTTTTCTCTACAATTTCACAGAATCATAGAATTATTTGGGTTGGAAGGGACCTTAAAGATCACCTAGTTCCAACCCCCCTACATGGGCAGGGACACCTCCCACTAGACCAGGCTGCTCCAAGCCCCATCCAGCCTGGCCTTGAACACTTCCAGGAAGGAGGCATCCACAACTTCCCTGAGCAACCTGTGCCAATGTCTCACCACCCTCACAGGAATTTCTTCCTAATATGTAATATAAATTACCTCTTTTAGTTTGAAACCATTTACCTTTGTCCTATCACTACACACCCTTGTAAGAAGCCCCTCCTGTAGGCCCCCTTCATGTACTGGAAGGCTGCTATAAGGTCTCCCTGGAGTCTTCCCTTCTCTAGGCTGAAAAACCCCAACTTTCCTAGTGTGTCTTCACAGGAGAGATGCTTGAGCCCTCCGATCATCTTTGTGGCCCTCCTCTGGACTGGCTTCAATGTTTAGGAGAACTCGGCTTTCTCAGACACACTTAGAATGAACTTCCATGTATCCACCACTAATTCTGAAAGAATAAAGTGTTTTGATGTTTGAGAGTGAAAAATCTGAATAAATTACAGCCATCTTGGTTCTGAAATTGGGTCTTTATGTTCACAAACTCACACAAATAGGTGACATTATGCTGCAGACCTGCTACCCAGTTAGAGGTGTGTCCTGCAAAGGTTCAGGGACAAGGCAGGCTCCTACTTTCCCCCTTCAACTTCACACAAGTAGCCAAGCACTAGGAATACATCATGCATGGCCTAAATCAGTAGCAAAAGGGTGCTTGCTAAGTGCTCCACCATGACAGGAGCTCTGGTTGTTATTTTGTTTAAGGGATAAAAACAGTTCTGTCCTCTCTGTCATTTTACAGATATTTTAAAAAAAACCCAAACCTTTGACATTTAAAAATTTTAATAGGACAACGTAAAGCAGAACATGACATCCTTTTTTTTTTTTTAAGGTAGAGAAAGGATTTTGGTGCCTTTTTTCTTATACTCAGCTGATTTACTGTGTGTCTCTGGCTGATGTTTCTATCCTTGAAGAACTTAAATTAATAAGGTGGACTTTCAGATTTAATTATATCTACTAAAAGCCACTCTGACATACAAAGGTAAATAACAGAGAAAGAACATTAAAATAAAAATACATTAAAAATATATATGTAACTTTCTTGCAGATTATCCTCTTTTCTCTAGATCCAATGGCACCAGCAGAAGCAAATCAGTGCCATACATTCCCTGCTACTGTAATCCATTTGAATCAATAGTTACAGTGACAGAAAAATACCATGTGCAACATTTATTTAAGCTAATACTAAAGAATTCTGGTTTATATGATATAATCAACTTTATGTCCAATGAACAAACTAGTTGCTTTTAATTGCATCCTTTCATGTTACTGAGTTCATTGAAGAACACAAATTATAGAGTTTAATACCAATAACCCTTGAATATCCTTTGGAGGCTACAGGCTGTAGCACAACACACTGCTGAATAGCTTATAAAGGAGAAAGTTATTCTAGATTACTTCCATGACTTCCTATGGCATCAATTTACAAACAGATTTGTTGCATAATTAATACCATCAATTTACAACTACCCTGGGGATAGTAACTTAAATTATATCAATTATTGTTTTCATTACCACAGCTTCTACAGTCCCTACTTGATGAGTACATTTTTACGCCCTCAGTTACCTTATGAAGACAAATGAACACTTGTATTTGGTCTCTCACATGCTCCATGTGCATTCAGCATACTGCCTATTTTGTAATTTAAATTGAGGTCCCATTGTCACTGATTGCTTCCCAAGATTTCCTTCTGGAATACAGATTGCTAAAGTGAAACTGAATATGCTGGTTCATATTACCATTTCTTCCACTGATTTGCTAATGTAAGTAATTTTGCTAATAAAATGACACCCTGAGAAGAGCTCACTCTTGAAACATCAAGTACTTCCTTTTGAGACTGGTTGGTTGGTTGCTTAAAGGACATAAAATTAAATATATGCATTAATAACACCAAAATAACAAGTGTGTTCATCCTGACATAGAAACATGTTGACTGAAGTACTGTTTTGGTCAGAGCACAAACTCACATGCCCCCAATTCCTGTGGGATAAATATAGCCCTAAATCATAGCACACAGCTAATGCCGCTGGCCCAGCCAGGGAGAGGGGCCACCCAAAAAACACATCCTGGGCTGTGTAGCCTCTCCGTTGACTCCTTTTCTGTGTTAAGACAAAAGTCAAACCACAGAAGAGACATTGTCTCCTCCCTGAGACAGAGAAAAAAGCTAGTCTACTACAGATAAAATTATCAGTTAATGAGATGTCGGAATCCTGACCATATCTTCATATCCTGACTTGTTATAGCTATCACAGTAACCTGATATAGATTAGCTGATTAATGTGTAATATGAGCTCTGGCTTATCTAAAACCTTTACAAACAGCAGCAGATGATCATCTGAACACCAAATTTATATCTGTGAAACTTCAGGGAGAAAAGCTAAATCCACTCCAAAAGTCCAGGATGAAATTACAGCCCAGCTGAGGTTTGTGCCAAAATTCCTGACAGCTGTGGTCCAGGATCTTCCCCAGGCTGTTCCCCTGGCCCTGTGATATGTCCATTGTATCACCTTCAGTGAATCACTTTTGCTTCTTTCAACACAGCAGCACACACCACAATGCACACAGAAATATCTTTTGAAAATTAATGACTGTGAAGCACTAGAAAACATGAATGATCAATAATATAACATTTTAATCTGTTATTCAAAATGCAAGAGCTCATACAGCTGAAGTGTTTCTTTTCAACAGTAAGTTTAATTAGCTCTTCAGACCAGCAGATATTATACACCTATAATTGCTCTTTCATACTAGCCTACATATATGCAGCTAAGCATGATGAAAAGTAAGTAAAGATAACCTTTAGTTTCCTTCTTTGCAAAGGGGGAGTAAAATACCTTGCCTGGTATGTTAATTGATTTAATTAAATGCAGTCTGACTAGATGATCATAAAATATTACACCCTAAACCATGTTATAGGATCACTGACATGCTCAAAGCCCTTATTTGCTTCAGTCTCCTAAACCTCCAAGGAAGCAACAACTTCCAAGCTAAAAAGACCTTTGTTGTAACAGCCCAAGCTGCTCCAGTCCATCACCCATGCACAAACCTCCAGCTAGGCAGTGCCACACCCAGACTGCCTCCAGATAATGACCATTTCCTTCTGTCTGTCCTGTATTCATTATACTGGGTGGATCAATCAGAAATTACCCAGAAATATTGCTGCAGGGTTTTTTTGAGGTATGGCCAGATTTGCCATCTGGTCTTGCATATAAGGCAGTCAAGGATTAGCAAAACTAGACCAAAAAATTTAAAGGCTGATTGCAAAAGAAAATTTTAAAAAAAAACAACAAACAAACAAAAAAACACCAAACAAACAAAAAACAACAACAAACAAAAAAAAAACCCCACACAAACAAACCCAAACAACACCACCAAAAACCTTGTGCTGTCTAGGATGCACACAGACCACTTAGCAAATACATTAGTGGTCAGAAGTAGGAGACTTCAGACCAAGTCCAGTGCTTGTAAATTCCCAAAAATATCTTCACCTAAATATAGGTCCTCACAAGGTTGTAGAGGTTTGAGTTTGTGTGTGGGGTATCCATACTTGTGTATATACAGAGACATTCACACACTGATACACATGACACGTTTACACACTGTAGGAATAGTTCTGCCCAACAAAAAGGCTGCAGA